AATCCACGACCAAGTCGGCTGCGTCGAGAAAGTCGACTCCAAAGGCCACCAACAAGAAGTCGACTGGATCAAAAAAGGTCGCGACGAAGAAGACTGCCTCGATGAAAACCGCACCAAAGGCCGCCGCTCCCAAAAAGTCTACTTGGAAATCCACTCAAAGGTCTGCTCAAAAGTCAGCTCCCAAGAAGTAAAAGCAGCCGCGTGCCAAAGACATCCGCTCCCAAGAAAGCAACCACAGCACCCAAGAAAGGAGGTCGTCGATAAACTTGTTGGTATAAATTTATGTCGCACGAATGTCAAGTGTATAATAATACATCTAATGATAGATGAATCACTTTTGAACAGATAAAGTCGACCTGAAGCTGAAACCTGACACTGATGCCTGGGAGAAACGCGAACATTGTGAAGCTTTGAGCCCATCTAATAGCTCTCAATACTTCACTACTATCGCACACCGAATTGTTCGCATCATCATCCTTTCACTGTTCCATCTCTTTCACTACGTTGTCTAGCTATGCAAAACTACTTTCCATACGCCCATTGCACACTCCCTTCCGTCTCTGAGTTAAGGTCTAGTTCGACTTTTAGGTGCGAGTTAGCTCGCATGGAGGATAAATTCCATAAACAAAGGAATGGAGATGCACACGGAAGACAAGAACAAGATGTGAAAATGTAATAGAGTGAGAAACTGAACATGCGCTCGTTCAGGAAACAAAGTGGCGAGAATTAGCGAATATATGAATTGTAACTGAACAAAGCGATGCCAATATTACTTGTCTTTACAGTTTTAGATAAATTTTGTGATGCCGAGATACGACTAGAACCCTTGCCTAGACCGTTAGTTCTCGGCTATGATGGCGGGTGACGGTGGCTGCAGGGTTCTCTCACGATTTGTCTCAGACCAGCGCCACGTCGGATAAACTTCTCACAAACCTTGTCAAATCTACGATTAAGAACACGATGTTATAGGAGATCTTTGACAGTTTTACGTGGAAAATAACACTGCAATATGTCGATTTAGTGGCCGTCAATGACTGCTAGAAATTCATATCGTTCGCATGGTTCAGCTTCTGGAGAAGATCTACAGCAACTCTTATGGTCATACTGTACGTGATATGATCGCAAAGACACACTTTTATCCATTTTTTTTACGGAACTTTGGGGTTTTGAACGGTCTAACATTGCGCAAAGATACCACGACATATTGCAGTGTTATTTTCCACGTAAAACTGTCAAAGATCTCCTATAACATCGTGTTCTTAATC